GGTACAGCTATGCGTAAGTTGGACTTCGAGTTGAAACAGCCACCGCTTCAACTGCGATAGGCTTGTTGTACAGAAACCCTTTCATGAACATCTTGGAAGGCTGCTATTTCTTGTTGAGTATTGAAGCTGCTTTGTGCACCATTCGTGCGGGAAATAGTCAGCGAAGCTTTGACATGCTTCATAAGACAGAAAGAAAGTAGGTGTGCCGCCATTGACCAGGCATTCCTCTCCGGCTGTGAGCATTGCCTTGCTGGGGCACATATGATAAGGACATCTTATCTGAGCACTTCGGAGCCCCAAGATCCGCACTTTGCCGACATTCTGTTCAAGCTGATTGGAAGCCTTGCAGTGCATCCACGGCTGTGTCGCCATGCAGTCATACAGCAGACCATCACTGGGCACCGTGCGGACTGTGCGAGTACGTCCCCAGTGCGGCCCTGAATCAAGGCCATGACCTTGCCAACCCCGCAAGTCGGGTGACGCCCTAGCACTATTACACACCGAGGCACTGAAGGGCCGTAGCCACATGCACAGGCACCGGAGGCGCCAGCAGCCAAAGCCTGAGGGGCACTGCGCATGTCTTGGACCTGAGACCTGGTGCTACCTGTGCCATGATTCTCTGGGCTGATGGCAGCCTGAGACACGGGGCGGATATGCGGAAACTTTTCGAGGATAGTCGGCCTCGGGCAGGAGACTCTGCTATGCTTAGTTTCATTTCGTCCGCAACGAGTGGCGTCGCAAGGAAGTCCTCTGAAGCCTCACAAGGCGGCATGGAAAACCGTCTTGTCAAGACTGACAACGGGGCCTTCTGGAATTTGCCGAAGTCTTGAGTTGCGAAGCAGTTGATGAGTAGCGCTGATCTTCCAACCTGGACATCGGTCAACGCACCGCACACCCCCCGAAGGAATCCAGCGCCCAAAACCTCATATCCTGGCCCACTCTGTGCGAGCCGAGCTCCACCCGGCCATTGCAGCGGCTGCTACCTTCCCTGCATTCCCTTCTCGGACGGGGAGCGTTGAAGATCGCGTTCCGTCTTTCCACGCTCTCCACCTCCAAGCGCTGGCCTTCCTCCTGGCACAGTCCCGGCTAGGCTTCACATGGTCCTAGCGAACAAGCACAGTGATACCACGACACGCCCTGACGTCTCTCTCTTCTTTCTGCAAACTGGATGGTAAAGACCCGCATCATGCTAGAGCGCAGCTTCGGGAGCCTCGGACCTTAGGAAGTCAAGGACTTGAATGCCACACTGCTCTTGCCCTCAGAAGTCAAACGGCGACGAGGAGCCACCTTCTGCCGGGGCGGTCTCGTGCTTACTGCCGTTCGTTTTTCTAACAAGTGGAGAACAGCACGCAATGCTAAGTCACTACTGTCATAAGAGCAAAAAGTGCGTTTCTTTCCTCACATTCAATTTACGGCGAGTGAGAGTCCCCTGTGCTTTAAGGTGCTTCGATGGGTGCTTTGTTCGGCTCCCGAGTGCTGCGCACGTTTCTTCGTGCGAGTGAAGAGATGGGGAGAAAAAGCGTCGAGGTGCCATGGTCCCTCCCAAAGAAACACCCCTCCTGATCACAGCACTGACACAGTAGTTTACAATTCTGGCCCGGGATTATCCCAGTTGCTCATTTCAGCATTGACATACACTGCTGAACCGTCATCCGCGACATCATTCATCACCCGTCTCGCCAACGGCTCCAACTTTCGCTCCTCCCCCTGTTGCCATGTCCGCGTGGTTGTCGGCCATCAATCTCTCAATCCCCCCCACGGCCAGTTGCCATGTTTGTCGTCGCCTACCCTCTTCGGGGCGGAATTCGCGTATGTCTGATTTCCAAAACTCAACGTCTCTGTCGGCTGTCGATGGACTGAATTTGTTGTTGCAACGAGGAATTGCAGTTGCAACAGCTTGTGACGTTGTGCTCTCAGCTCCTGTCTTTTATCTAGAAGGCGGTGCGCAGCTCCTTGGCATCGGGAACGAAGAGACACAAGACGAGGCCGTTCGGAATTGGCACCTGTCCAGTCCGCATGTGCTCCGAAGGTGCAAAGCTGGAATTATGACAACATCTCGAAGGAGCACGCGATGCGAGCGCGTTCCGGAGACAGTTGGGATTCCAATCTGGCAGAGCTTACAGCTAAGTGCAGCTGCGTGCGATTCGGAAGCCTGTCATCAAGCCTGGAGAGCCCCGTAGATTGCTGGACACCTTGCAATCTACGCATGTCGCAAGCGAAAACAATCGACGATTTTGTCGATGCAGAGGCACACATTTCCGGGATTCCATCCGCGTGCTATTGTCCTAAGCAAGTTCCAGGCAGAAGGCAGGGAGGCAGTGCTGTGCCATGCTGTATATTCGCGGTGCACTGAGTCAAGAACGCTTGAAGCAGTGCGTCGACGTTCGAAGTCTCACAAGGCACCTCAAAAGACAGGAAGAGAACCCGGTAATCCGGGAAGGCAGCACACGGAATGATGAGGCTTCTAAAGTTCGCGGCCCCATCGGGGAAAGTACCAGATCGCGCCCTGACCACCTGTTCCTGCTGAAGTCAACAAATGCGGGCTTGAAGACAGTGCTGAACAAATCCTACCGCTCCGTCGCGCACCTGCTCTGGCTGCTCTGCTCTTGGTGACAGCCTCAACTCCTGGAGAGCGCAAAGGACGACACACGTGACTTAAAGGAGGGTCTTTTCGGTGCACCTCGGCGGAGAGCACGGATGCTGCCAGGAAACCACCAACGAAGGAAGCGCTTGCAGCTCCAAGACCCTCGGCAGAGCAGCCGAACATCATGGTTCATCATGCCTTGCTGCATCGATTGAATGCGGTGCACACCTTGTTGAAGGGTATTCTATGCTCACAGATGAACCGCAGCGATGGTAGATGTCTGCCGGAAACCTCGTGGCACAGACCCGCTTGAACACTCAAGGAAAGCTCCTGTCGAAAGTGCTGGGGATCAAGAAGCGGGCAAATCAGCTTGCCTTGAAAGCGGCTGCAGCCCCTTGCACCACCAGGTTCTCCTCCGTGCGAGGTACCTGCAGGACTGGGCTTTCGCCTCGGCTTTCACCTCGCCGCCTCGCCGCGCAATCCCCGCTCCTAGCAAAGCCGCCTCAGCGATGTCTGTGCCCCGCAGCTCGACACTAAAGTGATCCGAGAACTCCAGCGTAAACTCGTCCCAAACATCAACAGCCTCGGGGAAACTCTGCTTGCATGCTCCACGAGTGTCGAAGTAGTTGAAGGATTTCGGAAGGCAAAGGGCTAGATCTCAGCAGCAACTCACCAAAGTTCTGAAGCGAGGATTTCACTCGTTACGCCCACCATCTCCCACCTGGTCGTTGAATGCAAGCCCAAAACACTCTGAAATGAAACGGCTGTGTGTAGACGTGTTCTCAAGGTCTGAAAAGGCTTTGAGATCTTCTGGGCTGACACAAGTCTGCCAGCATGTAGCTGTTGAGCACAAAGCTCAAAGGCACACAGCATGCACAAAAACGGCCCGGAGACTACTGTCTCTAGATCCGATGGAGCGACAAGGATGCTTTGCTGAGGCTCTGATGCTGATGTGCGCTGAATTCAAGGATCAAACCTCGGATGACACCTTCGGAGCCGAAAGCTGACGAAGCTTCCACATGTGATCTGTGCCTCTTGTGGGCGCTTACCTTGAGCACGTGGCAGGCTGAGATCTCCAGCGGTGGGAGCCCAATCTCAGGGTTCGGCTAAACCAACAGTCTCCAAGCCAGGCCCCAAGTTGGCCACAGTAGCTGGCACAGAGACCGTCACACGGCGCTGTGCCAGGGCAACCTCACCGACAGCTCCGCGACAGCTGCTCCGCTGCTCCGGTTTCCGGCTCTTGCAGGCCAGGAGGCGGAAGCGTGCATGAGCTTCTGCAGCTCCTCCTGGGTTTCGTCTAGCAGCCATTGGACTCAGACGTCACGGAGCCCCAAGCCTGTGCTGGCCCGGCCAAGCCGTATTTCTGGGCAAAAGACACAACTTCGGGCATAAGCCCATTTCCTTGCAGTGCATCTTTCAGCACAGCACAACACAGCGCACAGAACAGCCACTTGACGGCCTGGATTGCCATAGGCTCCGGCCATGCCTATTTTGTGGCACTAGGAGTGGAAGTTTCCACGCACGCATGCATGGTGACTCCATAAGACAAACTGTAACAAGACTCTTGGCTGCACGCAGATCTTTCTAGCTTGTGCTTTGAGGACGCCCTCACGCGGCAAGAAAGCAGATGCATGTATCTTGGATGCGAACATACAGTGACACGTGCAGGAGGATCATCAGCTGAATCAGTAACAGTAGCAATCCGCCGAATGCTTGGACATGGAACGCACGTCAAACAAGAGATCTCAGGAGCTGCTCTTGCAGCTGCCATAACGGCGGGGTGAGACTCGAAGCACGTAGGACGATGGTGATGGCATGCCTAGCCGTGATGACCACATCCCTGTCGTGCACCGAATCAAAGAGTTCAAGCAGACTTGAGATGGAGTCCGAGTAACGCGACCTTTCTCGACTGACTTGGAGCTGCTCACACCTGGTGGAAATCAATTATGCAGCCCGGACATAGCCGAACATCTCATGTCTTTCAAGTCAGCTGCCAAAGAGTACACAGCAGACCTGTGTGGAATTGCCAGGATCTCCTGGTCTAGACTAACCTTCTACAGCTACATTGGAGCTCAAAAATGTTGCAAATCTGTGTTGTGATTCGTTCCGCTTCGAGCCCATCTGCTGCCTGTCGATGACAATGCAGTTTGCCTGGGTTGCTGGGTGCAAATGGGCACCCAAAGCTACCACGAACCAATAGATGTGAAACTGAATTAGCTTGAGCATGCTTTGCAAATTCTCAAATCAAAACGTCAAACTGCCCCGCCCTGATATTCCTCTACACACAGGGGCAAATGACACACATTCAAACCTGAGTTGGCGAACGAGTCGAGTCCTCCGCTTTGCAAGATCTCGGTGTTTGAGCTAGGGCCCGAGGGCTTAAGTATCCATGGTCACGGCAGAAACCGAGTCATAGCGGACATCGATTGGCTCACCAGCAAACGCACTGGCCACTGGCCACCGCGGGTCGAAAGTCAAGAAGCCACAAGGTGGCAATGCAGATCTTCGGACCGGGCAGAAGGGCAATCACCCAGCGGATGCTCGTTGCCCACACGGTACATACAAATTCGAAGACGTGCTGCGACTACCAAAGAGCACCTTGGTACGCATCAGAGATTCAATACGGAACAGAAAGAGGTTCCACATGCGCCAAGATGCAGGTTTCCCGGGAATTCGCACGCTTCATCCATGCCTGAAGACTTAATTGCATGCAGAATGCACATAACAAAAGGAACATCTGGTATGACGTTTCATGCCATGTATGCCAGCAGGCCATATCCCAGGCAGACCATCGACCATTCGGACCCTGCACATCAAAACATGACCTCAGATACCGGTAACAAAGGCGGTGCTTTCTCAACTGGCTGATGATTCTGGGTGCGAGTGCGTGGACTGCTCTGGAGCTATAGGCTATGGGCATCCGGGAAACCCCAGACCCTATATACCCTAAACAGTAATAAACCGGACATGATGTCAACCCAAGCTGTGGCTCGACGGGCTGGGTTGCCTGCAGGGGTCTTGACATTGTCAAAGATGCAAATACTTGTCTACTTCATTGGTTGTTCCAATTACAGTCCTCAAGTATGACTATGATTGTCCGATTCATCGAGTTGTTGCTCTTTGACGCCTGAACCTCTCAATCGGGACACGGCAAAAAAACTTCATGCCCTGGAACCCAGTGTGCACCATGAATAAGACACTCGGACAAAACGTGAGATTGCAGCCAATGCGGAAATCCAGCACCGTCGTGCAACCGGCTGGAGTGGGTGGGGGAAAGCGGTGTGCTCATCAAGTTTCCTCAAACTCTTAGTGCGTCGCCCTACAGCAAGTCCCAACAACAAGTGACCTCGAGCTCAGACACATCGTCCATGCAAGAGCAAGTTGCTCTCCGAGGCAGAACCGCTCTTCAGGGTGGAGCTCAAGGAGACCCTCCACGAGCTCACATAGCGAAGGAGACAACACCTGCAACAAGTCTTTCCTTCGCACGAACGGCCTAGCTGGCTGCGAGAGAATGTTTGAAGCATGCTTCATCCCCAGTCGCAGTGCCGACCTGGACAATGTAAGTCTTGGAGGCAGCTCGGCACTTCCGGTTCTTGATGAATTCCGGAAACCCCCAGGAGTGAATGAAACTCGGCTTCAACGCAACACATGGCTGGCAATGTGAAGGCTAGAACAGCACTGCGCGCCAATGTCAGAATACATTGTCAACTGGTTCATAAAGACATGCCAGGAGACTCGAACATGCTGCAGGATCCTGCCCTAGTGCAGGTCCACGGATAATCGCTGAGAGCCATAGCATACAAAACGACCTTGTAGCATACCACATGCAAAACATGCGAAAGCACGTCCAGCCTTTATGGGTGTCAACTCTAGGCTAGATTCTGCTGGATGTTGTTCTCGCACCAGGTTTCTAACGGGCATGCACGGGGATTAAGCTTAAGATGGACAAAGACATCTTGTACCTTTTCAGAGCAAGTGTTGACTGGAGAAATCTGCGCAGAGTCTAGCAGTGTCGGTGATTGGTTTCAGGGCACTCCAGTCGTTTAGGGTGCCGATCCTTGAGGTTCAACCTCTTTCCATGGCTGCTGCAAGCCACATCTTATCTTCCGCACCAGGGTGCTCCAGCAGCAAAAATATCTGCGAGGAAGGCATCGTATTCGATATCGGTGTGCATCTCGGGAGCCTCGCATCTCGCAAGGCTTGCGGTGCTCATCAATCTAAACCCGGACCTGGCCTGGTAAGCTTGTTTTCCACGAACTTCCGCACTACACCGCTGGGACCTGAGATTGAAATCGACCTTCACCAGAATACCAACAACTCATGCTATCGCGGATCATGCTAAAACAGCCTCGCCGCAGCGTGGCCATACCAAAGTCTATCACTTTGATCTGCGGACCTGGTGAGTCGGCATCTTGAACGGTCAGGCGCAGACGAAGTCAGCAAATGGTTCGGTTGATTCTGTCATCGTCGCATTCAGGCGTTTCCTCGTGCATCGTCCCCGAAGGCCATCGTCATCAGTGGATTCACAGTCGATCGGCGCGCTCGATGCTGCGCTGCACACCAGGATCCCTGCTAAAGCCCATGCAACCCTGAAGACTGAAGATCACAAAGGTCACAATTACGACGCATATAAACCCCAGTGCTCGTACAAGAGTGGTTTGGCCCTTTATGTGTTTTGTTTTCGGCCGTTTTTGGGTGGGGGGGGGGGGGCGGTTCTCTGTATTTCCATAGGAAAACCTCTGTTTTGGCTATGTTTTCATAGCGAAAACTTATAATTTTCCCCATCTTTTAGTGACAAAAACCACTATGTTCTATATGTTCTCTTAAAACCTCTCTTTCCCGATATTTCATGAGGCACACCAACCCCACTGTGTAATTTCTCTATGTTTAAAACGTATATCTCTATTGTCTCTATATTTTAATAGGAAAACCCGCGTTTGCTCTGTATATTTTCATAGGATAACCTCTATTTTCATTTGTTTAAGGGGGGTTGTGGGGGGGAGCGCAGCAAACCACCCGCATTTGCAAACAGAATGCTCGCATAATAGGCTTCAAAAACACTCACATGCTTTGAAGCAAGTTTGTATGGCTTAAACAAGTGGGGGGGTTGGGGAAGGCGCAGCCCCCTGCATGCAAACAGAATACTCGCATGATGGGTTTCAAAAAAGACTCACATGCTTTGCAGCAAGATGGCACGGCTGGTTGGGCCGCAGCCCCTCCAGACTTGGAAACAGAAAGCAAGCCTGCACGGCTTAACAGCAGGGGGTTTGGGGGGCGCAGACCCCCCATTTGCAAACAGAATGCTCACATGATGGGTTTCAAAACAACTCATATGCTCCGCAAGCCCCCCATGTGCACACGGAATGCTCGCATGATGGGTTTCAAAACGACTCACATGCTCTGAAAGAAGCTTATGCGGCTTAAAAGCGGGGGAATTGGGGGATGGCGCCCCATGTGGGGAATTGTTTTTGCTTCTTTTTGTGTGCACTTTGTTTTTTGTGTTGCCGTTGTTCTGGCTTTAGGCGGTTGCCAATTCAAAATTTCCTGTGCTTTACAATGCATGGTATGGGATTCCTGCCCGTGTCCTCCAGTTTACCATGTTTCGGGTTGCTGGTTTGCCCGTGGTGTTTTATCTTAAACACACCGCCTCATTTGGCGACTCCGGTTCATCATATATCCTGAACACGCCCCCGCATTTGGCGATTCCGGTTCATCACAAACCTCAAACACGCCCCCTCATTTGGCGTTTCCGGTTCATCATATATCTTGCACGCGGCCCCTCATTTAGTGCTTCAACTTCATCATATACCTTACACACGTCCACTCATTTGGCGATTCGGGTTCATCATAAATCTTAAACACGCCCCATAATTTGGCGTTTCCTGTTCATCAACTATCTGAAACACGCTCCTCTGGCGGTTTGGATTCATCAAAAATTCTGTTAAACACGCCCCCTCATCTGGCGATTCCGGTTCATCATATATCTTAAACACGACCCCTCATTTGGCGACTCCGGTTCATCATATATCCTAAAGACGCCCCTCCTTTGGCGAAAACCAAAACATATTTCGAAAACAAAAACACGAAAAACAAACACAAAGCCCCTAGATACCAATTTGCAATTCCGGTTCGTCATATATCATAAACACACCCCCTCATTTGGCGATTCCGGTCTCATCATATAGCATAAACCGGCAGGAAGAACTGAGCGGACCAACGGGACCAGCAGACCAGGGAACCAGAAGACAGGACGGGGTGGGGGGCCAAGAGACCAGAAGACAGGGGCACCAAGAAGATCACAGGACCAGGAGGCCAGAAGACCAGAGGACCAGGGGACCGAGAAGACCAAGCGATCAAGGGACCAGAGGACCACGTGACCGGAGGACCGCGGGACCAGGGGACCAGGGGGATAGGGGAGAAAAAAAAACAAGGAACCAATAAAAAACAGCGAAAAATACGCCCTCCTCTTGAAACCTGGAAAGAAGTTTGAGAAGATCTTCTCCCAAGCCCGAAAGCCAAAGCGGAGCAAATTTTTTCTGCAGATCAAAGGCCTCCGACAGAATATTCAAGCGCGTTGCCGGAATACAGTGGAGAACCATTTGGCGTAGAATGCAAGAACTTGTTTGGGCTGAGCGCAGAAGTCTTCGATGAGTGCTGTTGCGTTGTGCTGCCCATGTAGACAATGTCCTCCATAGCCCACCTTCTCTCTCCAGAGCACGGAGCTCTGTCACTAAAGCTCTCTACTCCATGGGGGTGGTAACCACAAGGATGTTTCTCCATCAAAACATTCTCGAAATGCTCTGAAGGAACCCTCTGCTGAAGTGGCTCCGGGTGGCAGTGATAACAAAGCACGCATCTCCTGCAGGGTCGGCACTGGGCGGGTTACAATACAGCACAGTATAATACAGTAACAGCGAACTACCCTAGGACATTTGCAAACTTAGCTTCAACATCTGAAAACACAGCTTTCACCAACAATGCGAGAAGTCCTGGATTCAATAACCATTCTTGCGACAGTGCGGAACCTTGCTGCACGACAAGCAGATCGGCGTGAAGGCCTTGCAACCACTGCTTCGCATGCGAACTGGCATGGACGTGTGCCGCCGTCAGGTTTGCAAATAGCGTCGCAAATAGCGTCAGGCCTTTACGATTGCGGTAGATGCCACCTTTCCTTACTAGAAAACCATGATCTTGCCTTTTCTAGACCTGTTGTAGGCTTCCAGTACTTGATCATCTTCAAAAAGTGTGAGTGAAGACGCGGGTCTTGCCTCCGTCCGATCAGCTGCATCAGACAAGGCGAGTGTGTGGCCACTGACGACAACATGCCTCACGTGCACCATCCATCCAGCCCCGAGTAGGGTGGCCTCTGACAGCTCAAGTATAAAAAAAAAATATATATATATATATGCTACCCCCCTTAAAGCCCACAGATTTCATGATTGTAGGCATAATCTAGCAGGGTACTGCT